CTTGGTTCTTGAAAGGGACTTTTGCTAGACATAATTCTAAGTTGACATTTATTTGTTCTCATCACTATAAAGATATTATTTCAGTCTCTTAGCATCTGTGGTGGTTACTGAGAAGTCAGCTCACATTCTGTCCTCCCTTTGTAGATGGTCTGTCTTTCCTCCCTGACTGCTTTCATCATTTCTCTGCCTTTGGCATTCTGTAGTTTCAATAAAATGTGTATAAGCATGGATTTATTTTTATTTATTTTGCTTAAGATATTTTGTGTTTCCTAATTCTGTTTTTCATCACTTCTAGAAAATTTGCAGCCATTTTGTCTTCAAATACTGCCTCTTTTTTTTTTTTTTAATATTGCCTCTTTTTTCTTCCCTTTATTTTCTTCTTCTGGGACTCCAATAGCTAAGATCTTCTCATTCTATTCTCTATTTCTCTACATCTCTCTTCATATTATCCACCTTCTTATCTCTCTTTGCTGCATTCTTTATATATATATAATTTCTGGATCATTAATTTTCTATTCGACTATTTACTGTTTGTTAAATTTCATATGTTGAAATTGTATTTTTTATTTCTAGAAGTTCCATTCATTTTTCCCCACATCTCTATGCCTTCATTCCTATTTGTTTTATATGCTCATATTTGTAATTTCATCTTTTATTTCTTTAAAGATCTCATATGTGGCTACTCCATATTCTGTAATTGGGGTCTAAGTCTATTGCTTCTTTTTTTTCTGCTGACTCTCATTCATGGTGGCTTACCTTCTTGTGATTCACTAAGCTTTATATGAAGCCCATTGCTTGATCTTACTCTGTAGGCATCCCCCTGGCCTAACCTAGGGAAGATTTTGTCCTCATTGAGTTTGCTTCTCTCTTGCCAGTAGCACCCCATCCCAGGACCACTTCAGCCCCCTTAAGAGTTCTATCTCAGAGGAGGCTCAACTTCTCATCTTCCCCTCCCCTAGCTCTCTGAAAGCCCACTATCACCAGGTGGAAAAATTGCTGTAAGACTCTGGCCTGGGGACTAGCCTTCTCCTCCAGGCCACCAGCTAGTTCAAGCCAGTTCTCCGACACTTTCCCACACCCCCAACTCTAGCACCCCTGGGCCCATCCTCTAGCTCCCCTCTGCTGAAACCTGGGTTTCTGAACATTCTATTCTCTGATCCTCCTTGATTTTGATTCATAGCACATGTCACTACCTGTCATATCTTATATTTATTTGTTAAATTGATTATTGTGTGATATCCCCTCAACTAAAATGTGGTGGCTTGTTCATTTATATATCCTCAGCAACTAGTGGGGTGCCTGGAATATGATAAGTGTTTAACAATTGAGTGATGAATAAACAAATGAATGAATGAGAAAAATAGATATAGTATCTCCAAAATGCTCTCAGTCTGGCAGCTGAAACAGACACAGTCATAATACAAAGAAATAACTTCTGCCATGGGGGAAGGGTGGGGTTGTGGAGCTGAAAGAGAGACCCCACCATAGATTTGAAGGTCAGGGACCACTTCCTAGTTCAGCCTTGAGAGGCATGAGGATGTGCAAGCTGAGACTTTCATGGGTGTCATCATTGCTCCACAAATGAGAGGCACACAGGGAGGGCAGAGAGCATTCCAGACAACGAAAGCAGCCCGAAGGTGAGAAAGAACCTATTCAGGAAACTGAAGGTAGTTCAGTGTGGCAGGATGGAGGAGGATGAGGAAGGAGTGGTGGGAGATGGGCTGGAGAGGGGGCACAGGCCTGACCCCCTGGGCCTTTCAAGCTCCCGTGGGGAGTTAGGCAATGAGGGGGGGAGGGCATGGAAGGGTTTCAGCCAGGGAGGACATGTCAGGCTGCAGGGTGGAAAGTTCCCTCTGGCTTCTGGATGAAGTTGGACCTGGATCTGGAGGAGGCAGGGAGGTCTGTGAGGAGGCTCAGCAGGGGATAGAGGCTAGGGCAGGGCCAGAGCTGATATCGGGGTGGGGGCGCCCCAAGGCAGAACCCTTGAGGTATCTGGTGGTGGCCTTGGCCGGCAATCAGAATGCAGGGAGAAGCCTCAAGTTGAGTTGGCTGTCTATTAGTGGGGCTCACTCATGAAGTTGAGTTGATTTGAAGGATAAAGAGTCCACACCCCAGACTCATGAGCCAATGCTCTTTTCAATTAGCATTGCTGTATTTAACAAAGATAAAAATAGATAAATCAATATATGGGACACCAAGCTAAATTTGAATTTCAGATAAACAACGAATAATTTTTTAGTATAAGTATGTCTCCAAAATTGGGCATCCTGTATTTCATCTGACAACAACCCCTTACTTTCAACAACACCCCTAACACACACCTTTTTGAAATACCAGTAACTAAACAACACAGAAACCTCTTAATCTGTGGCCCCTCTGGCATTTCCTTGACGTCCCTTTACCAATTGCCTCCTTAGAGTACTTGGCTCTGAACAGCGGCTCCCAGACTCTACCCCATTCTATTTTCTCCCCTAGTCTGGAAGCCCCAAAGAGCTGACCCCAGTGCCCAGTCTGGTCTAGGCCAGGACTCTGCTGGGAGTCGGCGGGGAGGAGGCCAGCCTGCCTCCACATCATCTCCCTCAGGCCCTGCCCCCACACCCTGGGGAGGCATTTCCAGGAAGTGGTCCCTGCCCAGAGCCTAGACCCCAGTGGGGCTTGGGGCCACAAGCTTGGGGCTACTTCCTGGAACTGCCAGACTCATCCCACGTCACTGTGGCCACATCCTCCCACGGGTAGCCCTGAGCTTGGTGGGGTCTAAGAGGCCAGGTTCTGGACTAAGGGGGTCTCAGGCAAGACTGCCTCACTGGGGACCCAGCCATAGCGGGAGCCTGGGTCACCTGTCCATTGAGCTGCCGGAGAACGGCCAGAGGGTCCCGTGGTCCTTTGGCACCCTTATCAGCACAGGGACCCATCCCAAGGCGTGAAGAGCCTGGTACAACTCAGGGCTGGGCTAAACCAGGGAAGCTTGGGTGGGCACTCACATCACCCTGATGGGTGGGGTGCGGTGCTGTGCCTAGAGTCAGAGTGGGAAAGAGGCCTTCTCTATGGGGCAATTGGGGAGGTTTCATGGAAGACATGATACGTGACCTCTAGGAGTTTAAATAGATCAGAAGCCTGGGGGATTAGGGAGGTGGGAGGACATGTGGTGACAGCCTGAAGACTGTACTACATAGAGAATATTCCTAGAAGGGCAGAAAGTCAGCAAGGCTGGAGCAGAGGCCCCTCTGGGGAAAGTCGGGGGAAGGGGTGGAATGTAACTAAGGAGGAGGTGGGTCTATAAGGTTGGGAAGACCTGGGCTAGGGGCTTAGACAGATTGGCTACTGATAATAACAACAGCAAAAATGCTAATAATAACAAGAACAACCATTTATTGAGCAGTTACTCTGTTCCAAGCCTCTTTATATGGGTTCTTTTATTTAATCTTCAAAATAGGTACTCTACTGCACTTGCTTTACAGATGGGAAAACTAAGTCACAGAGAGATTGAGTGACTTGTCCACAGTCACACAGCTGGCAAGTGACAGGGCTGGCCTTTGAGCCCAGGCAGTCTGGCTCCAGAGCCTGTACCATTTACCACCTGGTAAAGAGCTATTTGCATCCAGAAATGTAGAGAAAGACAGAAAATCCCCCCAAGAGAAATTTTCCCCAGGGGGACATCCTGCTCCAATTCCTTCCCTATGACATTCAAGGTCATCAGATCATATGATGGCCTGAGGCTGGGCCCTGAGAGTCTACTCCAGCCAGCTGTTCTGGTGCCAGGCATACCTGGGGCACAAACACCCAGGAGCGACAGCAGGCAGCTGCATTGGGAAAAGAGACAAATGGCTGTGCAAACAGGGCTAGCACTCCCTCCTGCCAGTCACTCAGAAGGTGTAGTCTTGGAGGTATGGGGGTGCCACTCCAGCCGGTGCATGTTGTCCACCGACCAGCCACTGCAGCATTTGCAGAGGCAGCTGCGGAGCCCATTGCCTCTGGTCACTGGCCCACAGTGCCCCCTAGTGTCTTTCTTGGGAAAAGCACCGGTTTCATGAGCATAGTCTCCCATGTGGCCTGACAGATAGGTCTAGGGCAGTGGTGACTCTGCAACTGAGGCCTGAGCTTGGAATTTAGAACCCATGCCCTCACACCTACCAGGGGAAATTCAATCCTGGCCAATCATCAAATGTCTGGGTCACTGGGGCCCAGCTGGCTCAGCTGGAGAGGAAAGAGGCATTGCCCTCCAACTCCAGGGAAGGCCTATGGGTTCTGCTCCTGGTCTAGATGGCCTATGGGGGTCTTGAGAGCACAGGAGGATGGGCCTCTGGGAAGAATTGGACTTCTTGATCTTTTTTTTTTTTTTTTTTTTTTTTTTTTTAAAG